TATTTTTATTGATTTCATAGAGGAAAAGAGAGGGACAGAGAGATAGAAACATCAATGATGAGAGAGAATCATTGATCGGCTGCCTCCTGCACATCCCCTACTGGGGATCAAGCCAGCAACCCAGGCGTGTGGCCTTGACCAGAACTGAACCCGGGACCCTTCAGTCTGTAGGCCGATGCACTAAGCTAAACCAGCTAGGGCTAAACTCAGTATTTTAATAAAGTAAAAAAGAAAAGACTAAATGTTGATCAGGATTTAGATAAAAGGGAACCCTAGTGCACTGTTGGGGGGATTGTAATCTGGTACAGTCACTATAGAAAACAGTATGGAGATTCCTCAAGCATTTAAAAACAGAACCACCATGTGGTCCAACAATTCCACTTATGGGAATTTATCTAAAGAAATTGAAAACACTAATTAAAAAAGACATATGCACACCTATGTTCACTGCCGCATTACTAATAATAGGTAAAATATGGAAGCAACCTAGATGTCCATCATAAAGAAGATGTGATACACTCACACACATATACACACACTGGAATGTTATTCAACCACAAGGAAAAAAAGAAAAGAAAAAGAAACCTTACCATTTATGGTAATATATTAAAAAATATATATAGATGTACTTTGTTGCCAAGTATACAATCAATTTTTACAAAAGTTTCTTAAAGGAATAAATGTAAATTTTCTTTTTGAGGGGTATAAAGATCTAGTATATATCTATTAAACCAAATATATTGGTTGTATTCATTTTATTTATGATCTTTTTTTAATCTGTTAGATTTGTCCAACTATGAGAGAGGTCTCCCGCTATCATTATTTTATCAATCTTTACGTTTCTATATATTGAAATTATCATAGTTTACTTTTCACCTTAAATTCTACCTCAAATGTTAATACTGCTAGTTCTTTTTTATGTGTGTGTGACTTCCTTCTTCTGATTTGCATTTGCCTTCTACCTCTTTAACTGTTGCTTTATTTTCAACCTTTCTTTTTCATATTGTTTTATTTCTTATATACAGCATATAAATGAATTTTGTGACTTAATCCAATCTGAAAGGATCCAGAAGACAGAATAATTTAATTCATTCTATTTAATGAAATGACTTGCATACTTGATTTTAGTCCTTTTCTCTCATGTTTATTTTTCCATGAGTGTACAGGCACACTTCATTTTATTGCTCTTCACTTTACTGTGCTTTGCAGATATTGCATTTTTTGCAAATTGAAGGCTTATGCCCTGACCAGTTTGGCTCCGCGGATAGAGCGTCAGCCAGCGGACTGAAGAGTCCCAGGTTCGATTCTGGTCAAGGACATGTACCTTCATTGCGGGCACATCCCCCATAGGGGGTGTGCAGGAAGCAGTTGATCGATGTTTCTCTCTCATCGATGTTTCTAACTCTCTATCCCTCTCCCTTCCTCTCTGTAAAAAATAAATAAAATATATTTAAAAAAACAAACAAAAAAAAAATGAAGGCTTGTGGCAACCTTGCCTTAAGCAAGTCTATTGGTGCCATTTCCCAACAGGCCTGGTTAGCATTTTTTAACAATAAAGTGTTTTCTAATTAAGGCATGTACTGTTTTCTTAGACATATGCTATTGTACACTTAACAGACTACAGTATAATGTGAACATAACTTTTACAGGCACGGGGATACCCCAAAATTAGTGTGAATCACTTTATCATGATATTCACTTTATTGCAGTGGTCTGGAATTGAACCCACAATATCTCCAGGGTATTTTATCATGCTATTTATAACCTTTCTCTATTCCACATTACATATGATCATTTTTCTTATCTATATAACTTTTCCTGGTTAAGTAGCATCCTATTAAATGGATGTATATTATTTATTTGACCAATCCCCTATTAATTGTCCTCAATTTTTTCTAATGTAAACACCACCACAGCCCATTCCGGTGGTATACGCCACACACTTGGAAGTCATCTTTCACATTTCCTTCTCCTCCACCAAATCCATCACCAAATCCTGTTAATTTTACTTCCTAGCTCACACTCATATTTGTGTACATCTCCTGTCTCTCCTGCTACTATTCTATCCCAAAGTACCATCAAGCCCTAGCTGCTTTGACTCAGTGGATAGAGCATCGGCCTGCGGATCAAAGGGTCCCAGGTTCGATTCTGGTCAAGAGCACATGCGTGGGTTGCAGGTTCAATCCCCAGAGAATCATTTGATCAATGATTCTCTCTCATCATTGATGTTTCTATCTCTCTCCCTTTCCCTTCCTCTCTGAAATCAATAAAAATGTATTTTAAAAACAATACCATCAATCTGCAATGGCCTGCTGTTCTACCGACATTAACTTTGCTCCCACATTCATTCATATTCATCAGTGCTGCTAGACTACAAACTGGATGATGTCCCACCTAAAACCCTTCTATAGATGCCTATACATTATGGGTAAATTTCAAAACACAGATTCAAGGCCCTACATCTCTGGATCAGATCCACTTCACTCTCTCTCCCGCCCTCCTACTCTCTCTAAAAATGAATGGAAAAAATATCCTGCCTGCCTAATCGCCCTTAACCACTCGCCTGCCTGCCTGATCGGCCCTAACTACTCTGCCTGCCTGCCTGATCGCCCCTAACCACTTGCCTATCTGCCTGATCACCCCTAACCACTCTGCCTGCCTGCCCACCCCTAACTGCCTCTGCCTTGGCCCCCGCCGCCACGGCTTTGTCCAGAAGTTTGTCTGGAATGACGTCCAGAAGGCCTTTTGGCTGTCCAGTCTAATTAGCATATTACACTTTTATTATTATAAAGGCCTGATGCACAAAAATTTGTGCAAGAGTAGGCCTTCTTTCCCCCAGGTGCCAGCACTGGCTTCCCTCCAGTACCCAGAACCCAGGCTTCCCTTCTCCAGCTGCCGGCAGGCACCCGGGACCCGGGCCAGCTTCCCTCGGGGCTGCCCGCAGGCACTCGGAAACCGGGCTGGCTTCCCTCCCGCTCCGGCTTCGTCAGGAAAGATATCTGGAATGACGTCCGGTCTAATTAGCATATTACCCTTTTATTATTATAGATAATGACTATCTGTGTGTTTACCATGTACCTAGTGGTTTACATGCATTATGTCACAACAAGGTAAATACTATTCATATTCTTTTTTTACAGATAAGGAAACTGAAGCTTATAAAAATTAAGTAATTTACTCTGGCTGGGTAGCTCTGTTGGTTAAAGCATCATCCTGATACACCAGGGTTGCGGGTTCGAGCCCAGTCAGGACAAATATAAGAATCAATGAATGAATGAATGCATAAATAGGTGGAACAACAAACCAATGTTTCTCTCTCAAATTAATCAATAAATTTTCTTTTTAATTAAGTAATTTGCCCAAGGTCTTACAACTAGTTAAGTGGCTAAACTATGATCTGAACCCAGGTCTGATTTCTGAATTCATTATATCTATTTCCTCAGACTTGCACTCTTCAACTATATTTCATATATGTTGGCACTACTAATGATGCCTTGAATAGTAATGTTCAATCAGGTATTTTTGTACTTTGCAAAAAGTTATTTCCATCTACTCTTAAGATTTACTCTTAATTTCTCTAACCCATTCAGAGTATAAAAAGTAAAAAGTTATATGCCCTGGCTGGTTGCTCAGTGTTTAGAGCATCGACCCAAGCACCAAAGGGTCTGGGTTCGATTCCTGGTCAAGGGCAAGTATCTGGGTTGTAGGCCTGATCCAAGGCCAGGTCAGAGCATGTGCAGGAGGCAACCAATTGATGTCTCTCTCACATTGATGTCTCTCTCCCGCTCTCTCTCCCTCCCACTCTCTCTAAAAATGAATGGAAAAATATCCTCGTGTGAGGATTAACAACAACAACAAAAAGTAAAAAGTTATAGTATCTCTAGACCAGCTATTTTCTTTTCTTTTTTAAAAAAATACATTTTATTGATTTTTTTACAGAGAGGAAGGGAGAGGGATAGAGAGTTAGAAACATCGACAAGAGAGATACATCGATCAGCTGCCTCCTGCACACTCCCCACTGGGGATGTGCCCACAACCAAGGTACATGCCCTTGACCGGAATCAAACCTGGGACCCTTCAGTCTACAGGCCGACACTCTATCCACTGAGCCAAACCAGTCAGGGCTAGACCAGCTATTTTCAATTCGTGTGCTACAAGAATTTTTAAAACATGCAATACCTACTAGTCAGAGCACTGACTTCTTTTCCCCTAGATTGTCAAATAAAAAAATGACAACAGCCAACACGGCAATAGCCATCTGGTGTTAATGAATCAAAATTATAGTTATTTTTAAAATCAGATCAGCAAAAAATATAACATTCTTTCGTGTGCTACAGAATTTTAGTAATTAGTTTATGTGCGCCATGAGATGAAAAAGTTGAAAATTGTTGCTCTAGGCTTATGACTATAAAATTTGAACTTGCTGGTAATTTTGTCAAAATATCAAAAAATAGCCGTGGTCAGTGTGACTCAGTTGGTCAGATGTCGTACCTTGCATCAAAAGGTTGCCAGTTCGATTCCCAGTCAGGGCACATGCCAGGGTTGCTGGCTTGATGCCCAGCAGGAAGTATGCAGGAGGCAGCTGATCAATGATTCTCATCATTGATGTTTCTATCTAACCCTCTCCCTTCTTCTCTGAAATCAATAAAAAAATATATATTTCAAAAAAGATTGAAAGTGATTTTAGGGATTACTCTGATTTATCATTTTGATAAATAAGCAATCTATAGCCCAAACTGTCTTGTCCAAGTTGTACATTAAGCTAATAGTAGTACAAACCATTAACTTTCTGCCCAGTGCTTTGTTATAGCACATTCCAATCAAGTGGATAGGCTCAATTTTACTAGCATCTTATCTTTTGAACAAGATTTAAAAGAAACAATAAAAAACTTTCACATTAAAGTCTGTTTCTAATTAACATCACATTGGTAATAAAGCTCTTATACTTCCACTCAAAGTGGATTATCATCTACATTTCAAATTTAGAATAAAGAGAATACCTTTTTAGTCCATCTTTTTACTCCATTATATCCTTTGGTTACCAGCTGTCTATGAAAAAAGCTGTTGAAGAAGTGAACCTAGAAGAGACATCAAATACAAGCACCCAGATTATATTAGATTATGCCCAGGTTTAACTAAAAAAAAAAAGGAAATTTAAAAATCCTTAAATATAAGATGAACAAAAAGGTGAGGGGAATTTTCTTCTTTAAAATAATAACCAAAATATAAAAAATACATTGCATGGTTCTCATAAGATTCTATTCCAAGTTTTTATTAGAATGACCTTACAGCTGTGGTCTATAGTTAGAACTGGAATGATCAGTAAACAGATTACCTGAATCCAATCAAGTAGACAAGCAACCTGACAGATTTCTCCAAATCAGGTGATAAAGTTAAAAGAGGCTATGAAAGAATGAGGTAATAATTACCTTGAACTAAAAGGATATGGATTACAAAACTAACCTCATATGAAGAATGTGAATTTGGAAATTCTTGTTATCATAACAACTATAAAAAGGCCATAGCTTAATCATTTCTAGCACTGAAAGAATTATTCTAGTCATATGGAGCATCATGTCCTGCACACATGACTTCAAAGCTCTGGCTTCTAAATTAGTATCAGCCCACCTGAGATAGTAAGCAATTGTGGGCTTAAGTGTTTCCTCAATAACTTTGACTCACTTGAAATGATAAAATTGTTCTCTTCCTTTTGAGGTTCTCAGGATGTGGTCACCAGAACACAAGCAGTATCAGCATCACCTGGGAACTTGCCAAAATGTATATTCTGAGGCTCTACCCTAACCCTACTGAAGCACAAACTCTGAGGTTGAGGCTCAGCAATCCGGTTTTATAAACTTTTCAGAGGATTCTGATGCACATATATTTTGAGAACCATGTAGCTTAAGATATTGGTTTTTAAAAGAGCTTAGAGTAGCTATTTCCAGAGCAGTGAGTCTCAAACTTTGTATGCATCAGAATCTGGGATGCAATCTGACAAATTGGCTTTATGATTCCAATTTAAAATACATAACATATTTGTGATTTTAAGTGGAAAGTTATTACATTTTGTCTATATTCATAAATAGTGTTGCAATCTGAGATTCATTACATTACCTGTTTAAACTATCAGACTTACAAAAGTTTATAAAGTACTTCAAAAAGTTTTGCTTATTGAAATCAAAGGCTGCTCACTAAACAATTTGAGTATTCAGAAAGAAATTAATATATTACATTTTAAGAATAGTTTTAATATGTAACAAAGCTCTTAAGGGCATTTTATAATTTAGTTTGTATTTGAATTGAGTATCAAAGATTAATCCAAAATAAAGTGAAGCTGAATACTACTTTACCACTTTTTAAAAGATAGTAAAACTAAGTTAATTTTTAAAGCTTAAAGCAAATAGTCCCTTTTGTGCATCTTCCACTAAGAAAAAGCCTTCTCAAGAAATCAACAACCAGCCCTAACCAGTTTGGCTCAGTGGATAGAGCATCGGCCTGTGGACTGAAGGGCCCTAGGTTTGATTCCAGTCAAGGGCATGTACCTTGGTTGCAGGCTCCTCCCTGGCCTGGGCCCTGGTCAGGCCCTGCAGGAGGCAATTAATCTGTGTGTTTCTCTCACATCAATATTTCTCTCTGTCTTTCCCTCTCTCTTCTACTTACCCTAAAAATCACTGGAAAAATATCCTCTGTGGTGAGGATTAAAAAAAAAAAAAGATACCAACAACCATATCTACTTTGAAACAAATAAGCAGGAAAACACCAGCATCATGACTTTCTTATGCAGTAGTGATTTTGTAGAATGTATGCCCAAACCTAGCACCTGATCAAGACAAAATTAATCCTTTAAAAAAAAACCACGTGATATCAAATAATTATATAAAGTGTTTGTTTTTTAAAAACAACACTTTTTAATATACAAGGACTCTTGCTCCTAAAGAAGAGTAAGTTTTCACTTACTTTGTCTGGGACTGCATCCATTATCAGCTCACCGTACATATTAATGACCTATAAAGAAGCCAACATAAAACCAGCTTACTAACCCTATACAATTTAGAGCATCCCACTCAGAATGAATAACATATTGATACTGCTAACAGTAATCAAACCTTTTGGATAGTGGGCTTAGAGAATGAGTCACTTCAGTAAGGAATAAAGAATCCTTGATTCCAAAAGATAACTGTGAGGCCAACCCAGAAGTTAATTAATTATATTTTGTTGTCCAACATCCTCTGCAACTTTTCCATGATAAGAACCTACAATACACTAACCTGGTCATTCAGCCAATTCTGACCATCCAGTGTCGCCAGATCATCCATATCTAGCATGTGCTTATTGTAGAAGACACGGAAGTTGCATTTTTGATGTCTGGCCCGATAGTTTGTTATTTCCCTATTGATAAATGGTTTTCTGAAACAGAAAGATTTTGAAATAGAAGATTAAAAACAAGAGTTCTACTCAATTTATTGCTAAGTATCTTTTTCTAATCAAGAAAAAAGTCATATATGCTAAATTTTATTGTCAAGGGCTTAACTTAAGCATCACTGACAAACCTATTAGAAAAGTCTTCATTAAAGACATCTTTTAATCTTCCAAGGACATCTTTTTCACTGAGTGGAACCAAACTGCCATACTTCTTCATAACCTCATCTAGGAATCCTTAAATAAAGAAAGAAAGATTAAGGTGGAAAAACCATTTTCAGCAGTCATTCTCCCAATACTTAACCTATATTTAACCTATAGCACTACATATATCATACTATCAAAAAATCTTTGCCCTGGCTGGTGTGTCTTATTGGTTAGAGCATCAGCCCATGCACCAAAGGGTTGAGGGTTTAATTCCTGGTCAAGGGCACATACCTGGGTTGCAGGTAAGTGCAGGAGGCAAGCTATCAATTTATCTCTCACCTAGATGTCTCTCTTTCTCTCTCTCTCTCTCTCTCCCCACCTACCCCCTCGGGGTGAAGATTAACAACAACAAAATCTTTTAAAATTTTTTTTTTTTATTGATTTCAGAGATGAAGAGAGAGAGAGAGAGAAAGAGACAGAAACATCAATGATGAGACTCATTGATCGGCTTCCTCCTGCACGCTTGGGTATGTGCCCGGATGGGTAATAGAACAGTGACCTCCGGATTCATATAGGTTGATGCTGGCAGAAGAGAGTGTTTGTTTATTAAGCCTCACCTGAGGATATTTTTCCATTGATTTTTAGGGAGCATGAAAGAGAGCGGGAAAGACAGACAGAAACATCAATGTGAGAAAAACACACCAATTGGTTGCCTCTTGCATGAGTCTTGACCGGGGCCTGGGCTGGGCAAGAGCCTGCAACCAAGGTAGATGCCCTTGACGGGAATTGAACCCAGGACCCTTTGGTCCGCAGGCTGATGCTCTATCCACTGAGCCAAACTAGCTAGGGCAACAAAATCTTTTAAAAGTTATGTTTTGTGAAAAAAATAAAATGAATCAGACCCTCTCCACATAGAGAAATGTTCTAAGACATTTCACATTGGATTTCTAAGCTAGCAACGCACTGTTAGGAAATGGCTAGCTAAAACTAAAGACAGACATCTTTTAGTAGTTTAACCTTGCAGTAGAATCCTCTCTCTGAAAGAGTGAAATATACTAGTAAAGGGCTTAATTACCTGATTAATTACCTGATTAAGCCCTTTACTTAATCAGGTACTTAAGTAATTACCTTAATCAGGTAATTACTATCACATTTGGTAACTGAAGGAATATTTTTAAAAAAATCACAATTAGAGCCCTGGCCAGTGCGGCTCAGTTGGTTGAACATCATCCCACACACCCAGAGATCCTTGGTTCAATTCCTGGTCATGCAGGGCACATGCCTGGGTTTCAGGCTCGATCCCCAATAAGGGGCTAGCAAGAGGCAGCTGATCGATGTTTCTCTCTCTCTCTCTCTACTCCTTCCTCTCTAAAAATCAATAAACACACACACGCACACACACACACGTTAAATATAACAAATATAATATAAATATGATACATATATTTAAATCACAATTAGAGGGAATGAATTGTTGAGACTGCTGTCAAAGTATCATTTGGTAAAGGTGTGTAATTTCTCATCTCCAAAAAAGGGACAAATTCGAAGGCATTTTAAATATACAATTTGATAGCATTATTATAATCTGAAAAACACTATGAGGTAAGCTTAACTGAATAACAGCAAGTAGCATATTTTAAGAAGGGAAACAGAATTAAGGATGACTTCTTGGCCAGAATAGAGAATCGTCTTCAGGTCAATTTAGGTAACATGTATATGCATTTTAATGGCTTCCAAAATGACCCACTGAATATACCTAAAAAGGCCCTAGGAAATAAAACCAGGACATTATTCTAAGTAAACACAAAGAAGCTGAAGAAAGGCTGAGAGGCTCACAAAAGTGCAGGCGTGACTTGTGCTATTCACTGATGCTGAATGGGGAAGGCAACAGCCTCGCTGACCATCAGTCTGACAGTTCAGTCCACTGGGTTAACATGGGAAAAATAAGGACAATAGACATTTATTTTACTCAGCTCCCTTTCTAACTTTAAGAATGGCCTCTGCTACACATCGACACAAAATGAACAGGAAGGACCACAACAAAGTGACTGTCTTGGAAATGGAGTGTTTTGTATAGGGAAGGGGCAAAAAAAGGGTGTGAAAACCCCATTTTTCTTCTCGTTAATCTCTCATCGGAGTGGCTCCCAATTGGAAAGGCTTAAGACAAGAACAAAGGTCAAGGTATAGTAAACAGCAAAGAGTTGTTTGCTTATACCTGGTCCTGATCTAGGCTTTAGGCATATGGAAGAGGAAAAAATAGGAAATCCCATGATCCAGATTAATCAGAGTACGAGATAGAGATTTGGGGCTTCTAAGAAGGAACAGAGCATATATTTACCTACAACATTTACTATGTCATAACTATAAGATATAGTTATGCAGCTGATCGATGTTTCTCTCTCACCAGTGTTTCTAGCTCTCTATAGCCTTGCATATACAAGGGAGAATGGGCCCAAAACAGAAAATAAAGAATCCCAACATCTGAGAAACTGCATTTAAGGGAGACATTTTATCCCATATACTAAAAGCATAATATGCAAATCGACCAAACGGCAGAACAACCAGTCACTATGACGTGCACTGACCACCAAGGGGCAGACGCTCAACACAGGAACTGCCCCCTGATGGTCAGTGTGCTCCCACAGGGGGAGAGCAGCTCAGCTAAAAGCCGGGCTCGGCTGGCAAGCCCAGCAGCAGTGGCGGGAGCCTCTACTGCAGGCAGGCGGTAAGGAACGAGGGGTCGTGGACTGTGAGAGCCCTGGACTGTGAGAGGGATGTCTGACTGCCAGCTTAGTGGACATCCTAAGCCAGCAGTTGGACATCCACTGAGGGGTCCCAGAGGGCACAGGCCAGGCTGAGGGACCTCTAGTATAAAAATCTTGTGCACAGGGCCTCTAGTATAAAAATAATTCTAATAACAAAAGATTACAGTTTAGGCCCAGCAACCTTAATTGAAACTTCTCAAATAAGAAAGCAGGCTCGCCCTGACCGGTTTGGCTCAGTGGATAGAGCATCGGCCTGTGGACTGAAGGGTCCCAGGTTCGATTCCAGTCAAGGGCATGTACCTTGGTTGCAGGCACATTCCCAGGAGGGGGTGTGCAGGAGGCAGCTGATTGATGTTTCTCTCTCATCAATGTTTCTAGCTCTCTATTCCTCTCCCTTCCTCTCTGTAAAAAATCAATAATATATATATATTTTTAAAAGTACTAAAATTTCAATGTGACCAAGAAGCAAAGGGAAAAAATGTTAGGAAAAAACAAAATAACAAAAAAACTACAGTTCAGATTATAGTCCACCCCACAAGTACAAAAGGTAATAATTTAAAAAATAAAACCTGAGGTATTATTTTTTTTTAAATATATTTTATTGATTTTTTACAGAGAGGAAGGGAGAGGGATAGAGAGAAACATCGATGAGAGAGGAACATCGATCAGCTGCCTCCTGCACACTTCCCACTGGGGATGTGCCTGCAACCAAGGTACATGCCCTTGACCAGAATCGAACCTGGGACCCTTGAGTCCGCAGGCCGACGCTCTATCCGCTGAGCCAAACCGGTCAGGGCCCTGAGGTATTATTTTAGAAGTTAAATTGGACAGTTTTTTCTTGAAACAGCATCCCATCCTAAAAGTGGAAAAAGGTTGATTGTGTTATGCACATAAGCAATGCAGCCACATGGTTCTCCAACAAATACACATGCCAGAAATCAAAAGGAAGGTATTGATGTACTGTATATGCCTGAAACTTATGTAAGTTTGTTAATCAATATCACCCCATTAAATTCAATTAAAAAATGTTTTAATAATGAAATATAAGGATAAACTTAAGGATTGAGCAAAATCTAAGTAAAAAGCATTATAAAATTCTATAAGGGACACATAGGTCAATAAATGGAATAATTTTTTATTTTTAGACAGGAAAACACAAATACTGTAATCAATGCAACTTTCCCTAAATTAATCTATAAATGTAATACAATACCAATTAAAAGCCATGTTTTTTTTTAATTAAAAAAAAATTCCTCTTGAGACAAAAATGTGAGAAATTCCTATAAACTTTTAAGGATTAAAAGGGAGCAGTGTGCCCTAACCGGTTTGGCTTAGTGGACAGAGCGTTGGCCTGAGGAGTGAAGGGTCCCAGGTTCGATTCCGGTCAAGGGCATGTACCTTGGTTGCGGGCACAACCCCAGTAGGGGGTGTGCAGGAGGCAGCTGATTGATGTTTCTCTCTCATTGATGTTTCTAACTCTGTGTTCCTCTCTGTAAAAAATCAATAAACTTTTAAAAAAAATAAATTAGCCCTAACTGGTTTGGCTCAGTGGACATCCCCAGTAGGAGGTGTGCAAGAGGCAGCTGATCGATGTTTCTCTCTCATCTATGTTTCTAACTCTCTATCCCTCTCCCTTCCTCTCTGTAAAAAAATCAATAAAATATATTTTTAAAAAAATAATAAAAATAAAAATTAAAAAAATAAATTAAAAAAATAAATAAATAAAATAAAATAAAAGGGAGCAGTGAATAAGGGTCAAGAGAAGAAACAGAGAGCCTAGTCAACTAACTAGCAATTAAAGCAGAATAGTGCTAGCACAGAAACAGACCCAGTGGCAGGTGGCATCTCATGACCCTGGGGAAAAGATGAATCAATCAATAAATGGTACTAAATAGAACCAGTGACCAATTATTTTATTCACAGTTGGAATTCATCTTGGTGTAAAGAATGAGGGCCCTAACTGGTTTGGCTCAGTGGATAGAGCATCAGCCTGCAGGCTCAGGGGTCCCAGGTTCGATTCCGGTCAAGGGCATGTACCTTGGTTGCAGGAATATACCCAGTGGGGAGTGTGAAGGAGGCAGCTGATCGGTTTCTCTCTCATCGATGTTTCTAACTCTCTATCCCTCTCCCTTCCTCTCTGTAAAGAATCAATAAAATATATTTTTTTTAAAAAAAGAATGAGGTAGGGATCCATCTTTTTTCCAAATGGCTAAATGTAAAAATAACACATTAATAGTCTAGAAGAAAATAGGAACGAATATTTTTATAGTATTGAAACAGGAAAAAGCTTCAATTTTAAGGGTTTTTTTCTAACATGTGACCATA